AAATCAAAACGCTCCGGGGAACTCCAGGGGACAAACATTTCAAAAATTTAGAAATAACAGGTTATTAGATTAGGCAGCCAAGGGGAATTCCAGAACCCATTGCCTCTCCCCGTCTTTCTGCCTGCCAATAGGTCAGTCACAGAAGGGAGGTGAGAGTAAAAAGAAAGTATTTGTACTTTTGTGATACAGAGGAAAGACGTGTCATGGTTCCCAGTGGCTGCCTTCCAAAAATACACATGGATGCCAGTGTTTAGTTCAAGTCACTACTTCTGGGAAAGTTAAAAAAAATTCCTAATACTTGTGGGACTCTAGCAAGAATAGTGCACATTGAATTCTAGAGTAGGTCTCTTTTTCAGTTCTTGTCCTGACCAAAACACAAGATAGTGAGTCTACTTAAGTATACGGGAAAATTCCAATTACCAAACTTCAGAAGCTTCAGAATTTACTGAATACTGTAGAATTTTGGAGTCCAATCTTCTATTTTGTTGACCATTTATTCAACTAATACTTTCCCTATTTCCATGTAGAGCTGGTAATTTTGAGCTGGTGATCTTGAGATGGTTATCATGACATTTCATCTTTATATACAAAAATGTTTGATTCAAGATAATTTTGAAGAAAAAATAAGACTGAAGAGAAACATAAGTTGTTTAATAAAACCAGAGGCTGGAGAGATAGTAGTTAAGAGCTCTTGCTGGTTCATTTCCGCTGGTTCACTTCCTAAAATCCACATCATGGCTCACAACTCTGTAACTAGAGTTCCAAAGGATTCCACACCCTGTTCCAGCCTCCGTGGGCCTTGGATACAAGTGATGCAATGCACATTCAAGCAAAATGTACATAAAATAAAATGCATAAATAAAAAAGTAAAATTTCAAGTTCTTAGTAGTATGCCTTTCTCTACTTACTAAATTGCAGAGTCCACTCAGAGTCCACATGGAGGCAAATGTTACAGGCGCTGGTGATACACAGCATAAGTACACCACAGTATATTTAAAAAAACAATTAAGAGCCAGGGATAGTGGCTCAGGCCAAGTATTTCTGTGAGATCAAGGCCAGCCTGAACTCACAGTGAGTTCCAAACTATCTTTGTTACTTTTTGTCTCTGCCGCTACGGTATTAAGAATAGGTGCCGCCAGAAGGCGCTTGTGCAAGATCCAGAGGAATAGTAGGTCCCTGGACCACAATAGAGCATCAGAGCCAGTGAGACACAATGGTGTTACAGTGATGATAAAGGAAGACACAGCCAGCAGCCAGCCTTCCACCCACCATCAGATAACCACGAAAACTCAGATATCAGAACCATATAGGCAAGACAGGCTTCTGTCACTGAAGAGGAGAGTGGGACAGCCAGATGGTGAGCTCTCCAGCTCTCCACCTCTTTTCCTGCCTGCCAAAAGCAGTAGAGCCAAGAGCTGTTCTTTGCCTTCCTTTTTCTTAGTTTTTGAGACAGGGTTTCTCTGTGTAACAGCCCTGCCTGTCCTGGAACTCACTTTGTAAACCAGGCTGTCCTTGAACTCACAGAGATCTTCTTACCTATGCCTCCCGAGTGTTGGGAATATAGGTGTGCACCACCACACCCTGTGACCTTTTCTTTCCAAAAAAAGAAAAAAGAAAAGAAAGGAAGAAAGAAAGAAAGAGAAAGAAAGAAAAGAAAAAAAGTTAAAGTTTCCTCTAGCCAAAGAGAAAAAGTATTACCATACACCTGGCTCAAGGATCATGCAAAATTCAAAAGATTGCCCATGTTAAAAATTGAAGGTTTGTTTCTAGGCTGAGGGTGTGTGGCATAGCTTTTGAGACAATGAATTTCAAACTCCACATTACAAGTTAAACACTAGAACGAGCTTTCAGTTACTTTCCCATTCATAGGCATTTGGGTGGTCTCCAACCTTCCACAAACAATTGTAATTAACAGTTTTGGATAAATGTCTTATTTTATAATATTTTGCTAGGAATGGGTTGTTGTTAGCTTCTTGTGTAAATTATATATATTTTGCTGGACACATTCATCTGAGGGAATGTTGGTGAGTGCAACCCAAGAAATGAGACAGGGTGGTCCTGTCCTCTGCTCCACAACACTGGAGTTGCAGGCACAGGTGCAGCCATGCTCAGCTGTTTACTTAGGTCTAGGGATTTGAACTCAGGTCCTCAAAAGCTTGTGCAGCAAGCCCTCTTAGCCACTGAACAATTCCTCCATCTTGAATGTGACTTTTTCAAAGAGAGTAGAGACTGCAAGAGGAGAGCAGGGATGATAGGGGAGGGCAGTGGGAAAGGGAAATGGTTCAGAACAAAGCATATGGACGAAAAAGAAAGAACCCTCCACCTTAGGAGAGTTTATATCAGAATTTCCAAAGTGCCTGAAAATAGACTAGAACACCCTTTCCAATAAATTCATGGCAAGATTATGAACTGCTGTGAGGTGAATCCTCACTGCCAAACAGGCGTGGTTGTATGTGCCTGTTATCCCTGACTTAGAAGTTACAAGCAGGGGATCAGGAGTTCAAGGTCACCAGTGGTCACGTAGAGAGTGTGAAGCCAGCTTAAGATATGTGTGACATTCATTTAAAGAAAGAAATAAAGAGCACTGCACAGAGGGACAGGCCTTGGCTTCAATTCCACATCCAGTAAAGACAACTGTAGGTTTGTTGTTCCTCACACCAATAGTAGAAGGTTGCAGACAGACTACGGGTTTCTCCCTCTTGGCTAGAAGAGTAGATCTTGGATCAGCTAGCAGGAATTAGGAGGTGCCAAGGGATCGAAGCTATTACCAAACTACCTCAAAGAATTTTGCCAAAACTAGGCAGGTGGATTCCCAAGGGTGAGGGATGAGGATCAAGACTTGAGAAGAAAGCTCAGTAAGAGCCTAAGATTTAAGGAGAGTGATAGTATGCCCAGATACCATGTACACTTTCCAGAATATCTTAAATATTTAAGATTAAATATTTAAAAATTTAAATTAAATATTATTTAATTTAAACAGAATTTTAAAATTTAAACAGAATCCTAAACATCACAAATATTCAAAATTTGGCTACATCAGAATTTTTCACCCCAACTTTTGATGGGGGAGGTCCTTCTGTGTATATGTTTGTCTTATTGGTTGATAAATAAAGCACTGTTGACCAATAGGGAAGCAAGTTAGGCGGAACTAGGATAGGAGGAGGATTCTGGGAAATGTAGAAAAGAGAGGAGTCGCCATGTGATCCCGTGAAGAGAAGAGAAGACGCAAGCCACTGGCATCCTCGATAAGTTTTTATAAAATATATAGATGAATGGTTATGGTTGATACTTAAGACAGAGTTAGCAAATAAGAAATCCTAGTCAATGGCTAACAGCATTGTAACCAATATTGATCTCTGTGTGTTATTTGGGGGCCATAACATGGTGGGGGAACTCAGGCGCTGGTGGAAAGAGCAATCATTACAAACTTTCATTTGAAAAAATAAAAAACTTCACATTCCTGTTCTACCAAGTTATTTATTTGTTTATTATTTATTAAAATTTTCCAGGACTGGAAATGCAGCTCGGTTAGTGGAGTATGTGCCTGGCGCTCGTGAAGCACGGGGCTCGGTCTCCAGTGCCACATGAAACTGGGCATAGTGACACAAATTTGTAATGTGAAGGCAGGAGGAACACAAGTCCAAGGTCATCCCTGCTTATCAGTGCATTGAGGCCAGCCTGCAATGCATGAAAACCTCTCTCCTTCTGGTTTGAGTTTCTATTGCTGAGAGAAATACCATAACCCAAAGCCACTGGGGCTTACAGGTAACAGCCCATCACCAGGAGAAGCCAAGACAGGAACTGAAGCCAATGCCACAGACAAATGGTGCTTGTTCATCGTGACCTGTTAAACTGCCTTTCTTTATACAGCCCAGAACCATGTGCCCAGGGGTGGCACCACCCACAGTGAGAAAAACCCCACAGATATGCTGAGAGGCCAATCTGATGGAGGCAGTTCAACTTAGAGTCTTTCCTGCCAGGTGACTCTACTCTGTGTCAACTTGACAAAACCTATCTAGCATAACTTCATAATTTCAGATAGATTTTTATTTGTTTCTGTTATTTTGAGACATGGTGTCAGCCCAGGCTGTCCTGGAACTCATGACAAAGCCTACACTATCTTCAAACCAATACCAACTTCCCCACTTCCACCTCCCAAGTGCTGAGATGACAAACAGATTACCAACCATATGTGTAGCCATTTTGATCCTTCCTGCTGTTCAATACCCCAGAAAGCTACACCTGCTGGGGCTCCAAACACCAAAAGCTTCCACTGCCCTTCTTAGGCAGACAACACAGGGAGTGTGTTAGCACCATAGGACTCCACTTGGCTTGGGCCATGTACATACTGCTCCATGAACGCTGTACCTCCCAACCTGTTAGCAACCTAGGTACCCACTCTCGAATCAGGCTGCATGTATACCTGCTTAAAAATAACTGAAAGGAGTCACTTCCCTTAGCAACCTCTTGACAATGCTCCATTTCTATTCAGATAATCCCAAGACACATCATGAAAGTGAGAGAGATGGGCCACTTGGTTTGGGGTCTGTGCCCAGTAAGACACACTGTATCCTTTGAGTGAACTCTTTTGGAAAATCTCCTATTTATCATCTTAGGATGGGTGTTCATTTGGTTAAAATCAGATGCATTGTGGGAAGGGATATGCGCAGTGAGCAAAGGTTTCCATATCCAATCCTATCAGTCAAAATAGGGGACCCTCATCATGTCCCTTTGCAACCAAGTTCCTTCTTCTTTTGAAGCCCATAGAGGCCCAGGCAAGCCTTGAGTACCCTCACTTGAGTACCCTCACTTGAGTACTCTCACTCACGGTCACTCTTGACACTGTCTTGCTGCCCTGTCCTCTCCCTTCACTAAGAATAAAGTATTCTCGTGCCGGGCATTGGTGGCACATGCCTTTAATCCCAGCACTCGGGAGGCAGAGGCAGGCGGATCTTTGTGAGTTTGAGGCCAGCCTGGTCTCCAGAGCAAGTGCCAGGATAGACTACGAAGCTACACAGAGAAACCCTGTCTCGAAAAAAAAAAATAATAATAACAAATAAAGTATTTTCGATACTTTGCAATAAGATACCCAAAACTCTGCAAATTCCCAACCCAGATCCAGATCTCTGTTGCTGTGATAAAACAGTGACTGATGCTAACTCGGGAAGGAAAAGCTCATCTTGTTTCCTTGGGTGTTATTGAGGAAGCCAACACATGAACCTGGAGACTGGAACTGAAGCAGAGACCATGGAAGAACACTGCTTACTAGCTTGCTTCCTTGGTTTGCTCAACCTGCTTTCGCCTAAGGATAGCACTACCACTGTGGACTGGGCCGGTCCCACATTAATTAGCAAATAAGAAAATGCTCCAGATATGCCTAGAGGCCGATCAGATGGAGGAGGCCACTCTTCCATTGAGAATCCATCCTCCCAGGTGTGCCACCTTGACAACTGAAGCTATAGCAGCTGGCTTGTGAGCACATACTTTCTTTGATTAGCTCCCAGCTCTTTGAACTTAAGGGTGGCCTTCAAGTAAGAGCTTGGCTGCTCTGTCATTTCTCTCCTTGGGTAAACTGTCACCAAGTTTCCTTTTACATCTATTTCAGATTCCTCTATGTGTGACAACAACATGAAACCTGGGTCCCCTTCCCCCTTCCATGACAAACTAATTATATCAGGGGAAACATGATTGCAAGAAATAACAGTGGTGGGGCTGGAGAGATGGCTTAGAGGTTAAGAGCACTGACTGCTTTCAGAAGTTCTGAGTTCAATTCTCAGCAACCACATGGTGGCTCACAACCATCTATAATGATATCTGGTGCCCTCTTCTGACCTGCAGAGATATATGCAGGCAGAACACTGTATACGTAATAAATAGGAAGGAAGGAAGGAAGGAAGGAAGGAAGGAAGGAAGGAAGGA